CGCCGCCTCCCCCCCACCCCCCGGCGGGAGCCGCTCGCAGCCTCTTCGCACTAGTCGCTCCGCTCTCTCGGTCATGTGACCTTAACGTAACCGGACAGGAAAAGCCCCGCCGCCGCCGCCGCCGCGCCGGAGACACCGACCGCGGCGGCAGCAGCAGCAGCAGCAGCAGCAGGGGCGGCGGCGAGGCGAGCACGGCCGGGGGCTGCCTGCGGCGTCGCCTCCACACCCGGCCGCGGCCGCACCGGCGACAGGTAAGCGCGCACCGCCTCCGCCTCCCAGGGCCGGTGCCCACGTGCCGCCCCCGGCCCGGGCTCCCGGAGGGCGCAGGGGGGCGGGGGCCGCCGGAGCTCGCAAACGGTTCCGGCAGCGGCGGCGGTGGCAACAAAGAGGACGAATGACCCCCGCGCCGGGGTCCGGGTGAAGGCAGGCAAAGGGCCCGGGCCGCTCGGGACCCCGGTTCTGGGCAGCGAGGGCAGGGGCGCCCCGCGGGGGCGGCGGCGGCGGCAGCGCCTGGCGCCGGGGCTCTGGCCGCCTGACAAAACCATCCCCCGGAGCCAGGCGGCGGCGAGTCGGCGGCTCCATCCGGGCCTTTGCGGGAGGGGGAGGGGACGGAAGCCGAGAGGGCGGGCGGCGGAGCGGAGGAGGGAGGGAGGAAGGGGAGGGGGGCGATCCGCGTTCCGTTCCCCGGCGCCGGTCCCTCCCTTCCCGCCGCCACCGCCAGGCGCGTCCCGATCGGCGGCGGCGGCGGCTGGCGAGCGTCCCTCGCTGGAGCCCCGCGAGGCGGGCCCGTCAGGTGCGTGATCCCTCCGCCGCCTCTTGCTGCCGCCGCTGCTGCCTCGGCGGCTGGGCCGCGAGCTGCGGAAGTGGGTTTGGGGGGAGGGGAGCAGGCAGGGAGGGGGAGGGGAGGGATCCGGTCCGACCGGAGCAGGCCCGGCCTCTCTGGCGCTTCTCCCAGCTGCAGCGGCTCCTACAGCTGCTGCCGCTACTGCTGCGGCTCCGCCTCCCCGCTCGCGGGCGGGGGCGCGCACGCGCGCTTCCGGCCGCCGCGGGTCTCGCGCTGTCTCCGGCTCTCGCGCGCGCTCTCCCCCCACCCCCCAGCTCTGGGCCGGCCCTCCCCCTCCCCCGGACGCCGGGTCTGTTGCGCCG